TCATAACTCGTTCAAAAAATTTTATTTTGGACTGAAATTTCAACTGAAGCCTTATCTCATGATATAGAGTTGAAAAAAAATCATGAACAAAATCGGAATTCAATTTATAGAAATAACTAGTATTTGTAAGAAAAATTATCTGACAATAATGAGTATTTTTTTGAATCAATGCTGCTATCACACGATTAATTTTCATATTCACTCTAAAATATGCCGCAAAATACTTTGTTGGTAATATCAAATTTTTGTAATTTTTTTCAAATTTCCCAGTAGGGACCTTCGTCAATCAACATAGAAAATTCATAAAAAATTGACGGATCAAATGGAAAATCAATTATATGTCAAATTCAATGGTGAACATTTTTCTTTTGAACCATTCTCCTCTATCACGATCGAGTTTGACAATAAACGCATCGGAGTGCTCCAACATCCGTGCAAGTGTTAACGTGCTGCCCACTTCCCTCCCATCCATGATGACTTTATCTATCGCCGTTAGGAGAAAAAGTTATACGATAAAAATGTGTATTTTTACATAATAAGCATCTTTTGTTTGAAATCTTTTTCTCTATCTGCAACCGTTTCTATGATATGATCGATTAAACAATTAAAATGTTATAAATAGATAGACCTGACTACAATTTGTAAAAATCGACATCGGATTCGGATTAAGCACTTCCGTTAACATAAATTCCATACATAAAATGTAATTTTTTTTCCAGCGCATACCGAAATAGGGTTAGCGTAGGGTGTGCTATTTCTATTTCCACTCTAAAAAATAGCTTGAAACAACTTTTTGGTAGCATAACATTTTTTTGATTTTTTTCATATTTTTAAAATGGGACTTTCGTTAATTTACCTCAAAAATTGATAAAAAATTAAAGAATTGATGAAAAAAATCTGAAAAAAAATCAGGATGGATTTTTTATCGAGTAGAATCATGAAAAAAAATTAAACGAATCTGAGATGGTCAGGGTTTAAACCGGTCGAATTGACATGAAATGCCCCATATGTTTTTCTGAGGTTTATAACTCAATGTGTTAATGTGTTTATTCACTTCAAAAGTGTAGAGGTCTTCATGTGTTCATAATTGTTTGTCAAACTGGTCCATATAGGTGCGACTGGTTTCATTGAATATAGGAACAAATATCTACGATAGTACCATATTTATTCGTCATACAAGGGTTTCATGACAGACTTCCTTGTAACTAAAACTGATTTTGTATGATTTTTCTCACCGATTTACGAGTTGTCTGATTTAATATAAATACCCAGACGGGAACATTCATTGGCATAATTTTTTGAGGTTTTAAATCGCCTATTTTACTCTATCATCTCTGGGAACACACGCCTTGTAATAGCTTATCGCGTGAGAGCTGATAATCTTTGGATTTATTAAATTGACGGTGCCTGATAGACTATATGAAGCATGGTGTACATTTAAAAGTTTGGGGAAAGCATTTAATGATACTTGCAAGTTATGGTCTGAAGAGCATTCTAGGAAGAGATGTACATGGAAAACGAGTGATTCATGGTGATAATAATGATTCCCAAAACATTGCAACGTTGGACTTGAGATTTCGTGAATAGTGATACTCAACACACTAAAAAAATCGTTGTAAGAGAATGAAAATGAAGCTTCTATGTTGGGCATAATCAAAATTTCATTTGTAATCAGAATATCACATGAAGAATAATTTAAATGCGTAGAATAGCCACATACTCTTTTGAATATTTTTTCACACAAACTTGTTATATTTACAGCAGAATTAAGAAAAGATATTGTTTTCGAATCAGCAGACAATTTTTGTGACATGGTTAATATCAAATATGAGCGCGATTGGCATATCCATTTCTTTTAATAGAATTGGTACAATAGATCCATTCGAAAGTTTACAATCAACAGAATTGGTAGAAATGAAAAAATGAAAAGGATTTAGAACACAAAAAGAAACGATCAGATGGTTTCTACCAGAAAGACTTGAAGCCCTGCTTATTTTGTGAAAATTTATTTTAAAAATTCCCAGATTTTGCAAGCACATACGGACGTACACATAGACAGTCTCTAAAAACATCATATCTCGCTGTTTCATTGCATTCTAAGTAATTTCCAAGCGAAATTTGAGAATCGAAGAATCGATCAATTAAAACGCTTTCATTCGGAAGCAAAAAGAAAGTCAAGCCAGAAATGTCGAATGAATGGTCATAGTGCACTATCAAAATTTTGTGAGAAAAATAGTTTCAAATTGAATAACTACTGAAAAAAATTATCTATGAAATAAAAAAAATTGTAGAAGCATGACCAGCGTTCTTGACACAGAGTTTTTCAACGCACTGTCTAGTATCAATCTAATCCTTTGTCTTTTGGTCCACGCCAAGGACGTTGGTCCTATTAATTTTTTATTCCAGAGAGAAATTTTTTTCAATCCTTACTCGATTTGAAACAATTTTTCTCATAGAAATCTGATTGTGCACTGCGACCATTTATTCGACATTCCTGACTTGACTTTCTTTGCTATTTCGTTGAATTTTGAAAAATTTCTACTGCCCAGTAAGAACGAAACAAAACTTTTTTTTGGCGCAATTTTTTTTACAAGAACATTTGTTTTTGTTTTTTTAGGTTATTTAGTCAATAGATGAGAAAGATTCAATAACATTTATTTTGTACCAGTCATTCCTCAACAACTTACTGTATCACTGTATAGACTTGGATATTGTAATCTCGTGGCTCGAGGTACAGCAACTTTTCTTGCACTTTGGAAAATATTGCGTAACATGTCAGAGGAACTTCAACGCCAAGTTCACAATCGTCGCTGAATTCTGCCTCTGTAACACAATAGTATATTGTGACCCCAGGGAGTAAAAGTATTTTCTGACGAATCTGACGTTATAATCACATACATCAGAAAATACTTTTACTGCCGTGTGGCACACGATATTTTATGCCTCGAGGACTGAAAACCGCGATGTAACCGAGCGAAGCGAGGTTAGAATCGCGGTTTTCCGTCCCTAGAGGCATAAAATAAATAACAATTTGCGATATCTGCCCTTGTCTTGTTTGATAACAAGACAAGATACTTTTCTTCTGTTAACACTATCTGCACTCACTCTTCTTATCACAAACACATCTCAAATGAAATCACTTTGCTGACATATCCATTATTCAGGATAACAAAAATGTTTTTTAAATGTCTTAGAAACCAAGTCCTAGAACATTCTGTTTATATATCTCTTTGTAGAAAAAAAATGTTTCTAAATTGAAATTCTTGGTAACCTCGTGAACATGAGATTAGGACTGGTTTGTTCAAACGCCTTTAGCTTCGTGGTTTTTTACCTCTAACAGCAGAAATTATAGGGGAGATTGCCAGCGCTTATGGAGAAGCTTCAATTGCCATATGCCGTTCAGAGTTCGTCACCAGATGGGGTGTAAGAAATCCACTTTTCCAGCTGTGAAATCACCAGATTTTTTGGGTGGTAAAAATTGGTTGATGAAAAAACGTTATTGGCGTGCAAGAGTCAAACGATAATATGGATGATGAGGAATCAGGGTTGGGCAAGTAAATTACCTTAGGTAAATTACATGGTTTTTGACCGGTCATAAAGTAGGTAAATTACCCGGGCGAGTTGTTGGCTTTTTGACCTGTCAAAAACCTATGTGACGCTATCTATTAGCACCTTGGAGAACCGGGTGATTTTTACCGAGAATACCGCCTGTCAGAGTTACAAGGGTCAAAATTCGAAAAAATCATACCCACTGAGGTTATGCCTCGCGAGGGTCAATCGTCGCAAAGGTCATACCTCGCAAGGGTCAAACGTGACAATCATAACTTGGGAGGGTCAAACGTCACAATCATAACTTGCGAGCGTCAAATGATCATAAGCAACAAGAAAGACCAAATGGAATAGTTTCAAATTATTTTTTCTTAATTCATGATCATTCCACCCTTGTCATTGTTCTGCCTACAGGAGAGGTAAGTTGAAAAATCACAAGAGTTAAAATTAAGACGCAGGCAAGCTGGAAAATCACAAACGTTCAAGAAACAATCACAAAGTAGGTAAATCATAAGGGTCAATCAGGATAACTAGGCGGTGACCTAGTGACCTGTTTGAACCTTGTGAACCTACTTGCTTTTTTTGTTTAAACTTTATGACCGTTGGAACCTTGTAATTGAACCGCCTGGCGTCCCCCGTTGAACCTCTTATTAGTTTCACCCTCCAGATTGAAGGATTGCTTCCGTTGTTTGACCCTTGCGACGTTTGACCCTAAGAAGGCATAACCCTTGCGATGTTCAACCTTCGCGAGGATAACCTTCGTGATCGTATGATCTTAACGATTTCCGGCCGATGTGCCTCTCACTTTTGACCCTTGTGACTTTTTAGCTTAGCTTCCTTGTAAAGAGCTTTCTGACACTTTTTGACATTTTTGACGCCCCAGAGGTAAATTACCGGAATTTGACAATGTCACGTCATAAACTTCCATCTGCGAGATATGCCCAACCCTGTGAGGAATTTTACTCCCAACCGATTAAATCTTGTGTGAATGTTGGGAGAAATGAATGAAGAATTGTACGTTAAATTGTTTCAGAGTCCGTAAAACGCGCCTCCAACAGTATAGAACACAATCTGATCTCTGCGAATGTAAGAAGACGGACATATAATTAGCAGGAAAATAACTCATTTCCGAATGAAACCAATTTAGATAATTTGGGAATGATTTGGGATAATTTAGGAATATAATTTTATAATTTAGGAGTTGATAGTTTATTTTTAATTAATTAGTCTTGATACGGCGTATAGTTAGCCGGTGATATGACCGAATATCAAGTAAACCCTTATGAATCGATGCGGAATAATTTGGGAAGTCCAAAAAAAATTGATTCGGAATTTGGGAATTGATAATTATTTTTTAAATAATTATTTTCCAATGTGATAACGGCGCGCGCCCCCACTCGCTCATGCGCCATCTCTATGTCTGTCAACTGTGCTCCCCCCTCCGCAGAATGCGTCTGCTGTGTTTACTTCGGTTGGAAACCGTTGGAACTAGTGGTTTGAACAAAGTTTAATTAACATTATGTAATGAAGTCTTTTTATTTATTGATGACGAAATGGTTCGAGTTCATGAGTGTGACGATCCAGCAGACATGAATTTTCTCAGAAAATAAAAAATTGTTATGATCCAGGAGGACAGTTGCTGAACAGTCAGTCAGTAGCTCTAAGTCAACCTCGAGTGATTCCCAGAATATCAGGATTATCATGTAAAAAAACATCGAGGAGTACTCATGAGTGGGAGGAATATGAAAGGGACGGAAAGCCTGAAATCAGGGGATAAGATCGTTTCTGATGAAGTTGACGATTCACAGAAGGAGGACGGGGTTCTTCAACTATATGAATCCACCTGAGGAAGCCGCCACGTTGTTCGGTTGGGTCATTCATTCAATGGGTATTAATGAATTCTTCAGATAATCAATGCGAATTAAAGTACTTGATGGAATGGGATTTGATAAAGTTATGAATATTGATTTATCTTGATAATGGGGAGCTTCAGGGGAAAATGTCATAAGATATTTCTTGTGGCGAATTTCATGGGCTACAAAAAAGGTCTGTTTGGTGAGGAACTAGTTTTAGGGTGGATGTGGTATGAAAATGTGGAGGGAGATGTTGGGAAAATTATGGTAGGCGTGTTATAAAAAATCTCAATATATTTTCGTGGGATCGAACCACTTGTCACGATTGCCGTACACTCTTTGTTATAATTAATGTTGAATGTCTAATTTTCACTGATAATTGTCTTTCACTTTATCTCGTTGAGTCACTGAAATTACTGAACTTAATCAACAAATTGATGTACTGAACAAGGATACTAAATTTAGAATACTGATTGACTGAATACTTTAGATCATTATCGTAACGATACTTCTGCACTACCGACTACTGACTCTTCCGGGTGCCGAGTTGACCCGGGTGCCGAGCTGACCTTTTCGGAGCGTTAAATTTCCCACAAAAATCCTCTTTTGTAATTTTCTTCTAAAATCACGCGTTATCCAGATAATTCAATATTCAAAATCAGGAAAATTGACTGTTCTGTTTTATTACAATTTACCACTTGACTATGTTTATTAATCCTCCATTTATCTCATTAACGAATGGTTTTATCAAAAAATGTCAAAAGACTATTTTTGTAGCCCACAAAATTCCTTATAAAAACTCTCTGTTTGAAACGCAACTAAAATTCCAGAACATTCTGGTCGACCATTGGCCTACTTCGAAAATCTCCGGGACCCTTCGGGTCATCGGTCGTAAGTCGCCGAAGCACGCGCGAGTCAGTTTAGGCTTAGCCTCTGACCGTACAAGTCTATCTCGGGCAAATCACCTGTACAAGTTTTATATCGCACCTCACCGAGTACAGTAGCTCTTTGAACCTCACCTAGCTCACTAGTAATTAAGTACATCACCGGTCTTAGTAAGATCACCGTTTTGTTCAGTACATCACCTCTGTTGATTAAATTCAGCCTAAAGTCAGTGACTCAACGAATTTACAGTGAAAGACAATCATCAATTTAATTAGACATTCAACTATTGAAAACCAAAGAGTGTAAATAGTTTTGACAAAGTGGTTCGATCCCACAAAATAAAGTGTGGTTTTTAAATCCGGCTCATCAGTAATTTTCCCAACAACTCCCTCCACATTTTCATCCCACATCCACCCTAAATTTAGTCATTCACCAAACACTCTCTTTTCCCATATTACCCTAAACACACTCATTTCCCAGATAATTTGATATTTATCAACAGATGAAGAAATCATAAAAAATAAAAACCTAAATTTGACACTTTTATCAATTACCCATTTATCTCATCAACCACTACTTTTATCAAAAAACATCGGAAGTCCTCTTTCATAGCCCCCAAAATTCCCCACAAAACCTCTCTCCTTCCCTATTCCCCTAAACCCACTTTTTCCTCCGATAATCCACCTTTCACGAAAAACCCCTCAAAAATCTCCTCATCAACTAATTAAAATCTCTTCCAACCCTTCCAGGGACAACTGGGAGAAGTCTCCCTACACATAACCCGCAACCGCCCCGGTTGCCGTCTACTACGAGCTTCTGATGTAGACTCCCCATATAGACGAGAACCTGCGGCGCTACCCCATCTCCTTCACGAATAACCTGGAGATTACAGCCTACGTCAATGTAAAAGAGAGGCCCCCAACCCAGAGGTCAGAGCCTTCCCCAGCATCCTCTGGGGTTACTACGGGAACGGTTGTTCAGTGCGAATGCTGAAACCCCAGACGTTAATCCCCAAGCTGCACAACCTGAACGCCTCCCTCCAAGAATTCTTCGGCTGTTTCGTTGGTGCAAACTTCTACCTGACGCCCCCAGGATCCCAAGGATTCGCCCCCACTATGACAACATCGAGAAAACGCTGTCTTTTATATAAACCCAGGAACACCTCTGAGTTTCTCCCCAGGTTCTCCTCAAAGAACGTTGATTCCTCAGAGATTGAAGAAGCGATTTTGGATGTTCTTCTCAGTTTTGGGGACCTTTTGTACTTCCCCAAGGGGACGATCCACCAGGGGGAGACAATGGGTGATGCCCAATTGCCCACAGCTTCCACGTGACCCTTGGTGTGTAGCAGAAGAACTGCTGGGGTGACTTCTTGGAGAAACTTGTGCCTGAGGCATTGAAAACTGCAATTGCTGAAGACCCAGAATTCAGGGAGGTATTGCCTATGACATGACCCGCACACTAAAGCTTCAGGAGTACCGAAATACCAAGAAGAAAATCAGACAAGTTTCGAGAAAATAATTGGAAAATGAAACAATGATGATACTAATCAGCTTAAATCTTCAATATAATATAATACTATTATCTCGAATCTTACTTGAAAATGTCTAATTTTTGTAGCTTATAGATCGGAATAAATCATTTTGCTCACAATAGATTTTAAAACGATAATTCAAGAGATAGTTCCAAAAGAAATTCCATCATCTTCAAAAAAGGCCTTTTGTAATTCCATCCTGAAACCACTCATGACCGAAATAATTGAATTTTCCTACTAAAAATATTGAATTTCAATAATATCGAATTAATTCGATAACAAGTTTTTCCCTAAAATGATTCTCAATCAAAGTGATTACAATTCTGAACTCGATCAATCCAACAATTTGCCATAATATTACCGGAAGATCATTTCAATTTCTATATTGAACATTATTTAGGCTTTACATTTTAATATTCACATTGAACATTAAACAGTAGTTGAATGATAATTAAACCCGTAATGGAATCTTTTTTTACAGTTTATCAAATGTGTATTTAATATGTATCAATAATAATTACGACATTATGAAGGAAGATTAATAAAGGCCTATTACTTGATTTAAGTCTACTGTTACGGACTGTATCATAACCACTGCCAGTAATCAATAACTATTGAAGACTGAAGTTTACAACGTGATACGAATCAAATATTGAGGAACGGGAAGGACAGACGCATACTGATGTTCAAGAAAGAAAATTTGTTGTATATTAATTGTACGTCACTAGTACATAACTCATGGAGTATTAATTACTTTCTCCTTGGCATACTATTCACGATCTCTTCTCCTTTTTTTCGTCAGTAGTGCACGAATTTTGAATCGTGTTGTACACCATATTTTTTACCATTCCACAAGAATATAAATATAAAATTTGACAATATGAATGCAGAAATTCAAAAGTTCTCGGCATTACACTACTTCCTAACACCTGGAGAACTATGTAGTTTCATATATCTATCAGATTTTACAAAAATATCTTCTCCATAACAACTTGAAAAATAAGAATTACAGGAAAATGGATGGGCATTTTCCTGTAATTCTTATTTTTCAGTAGTTTACCATACTCATGAATCGTCGTGTACTATCCTTCAAGAACGAAAATTTAAGAAATCAAACAATACGAATAGAGAAATGCAACAATATAAATGCATTCCAACAGTTTGTTGGCGTGCAATTTCTCTGTATAACGATTTTTTATAGTAACTGGTGAACGGAGCAGTTTTATATCTATCATAGATATCACAAAAATTACTGCCTTAAAGCAATCTTGCCATATTCTGTAGTTTAATATATAAATGCATCACAATGGTTTTTTTGGTATGCATTTTCTCTACAAAACAATTTTTTATAATAACTAGTGAACAGGGCAGTATTATAATCTATTTTAGATATCACAAAAAATACTGGTTCCGAGTAAGTGGTACATTCTCTCTCACTCAATCATTATACAAATGCATTCCAACCGTTTTTTGGCGTCCATTTGCTCTACCAAACGATGTTTCATAATAACTAGTGAATAGAGCAGTTTCATATCTATTATAGATATCACAAAAATGACTGTCTTAAAGTAATGTTGGCATTCTTTGTCGCTCCATCATTACATAAATGTATTCCAACAGTTTTTTGACGTGCATTTCCTCTGTAAAACGATTTCTTATAACAACTAATGAACAGAGCAGTTTTACATTAGATATCACAAAAATGACTGTCTTAAAGTAATTTTGGCATACCCTGTAGCTTAATTATAATATAAATGCATTGCCAGAGTTTTCTGTGTCGCAATTCCTGTGTAAAACGATTTTTCATGATAACTGCAAAAGTTTTATATCGATCATGGATATCACAAAAATAACTGTCTCTACTCTGGTAGCTTTCACATTCTTTATAGTTTAAGCATAATAAAAACAATTATTGAATATCAGGATTATACCATACAAAAAGTGAAACGAAGACACGAGAATTTTATTATGTAATGAGTGCGTAAGTTTTTTTCTGCATCTCATCATTCCAACTGACACAATAACAAACTGTTCAAGTCGGATCATGGAACGTGACATTCAGAATCAATTAAAGATCATAAAACATGTCAAATAAATTTTTTCCCCACTGATAATGTGTTGAGAATAAACAGAGTCACCTATAAGAACGTCCAGTCTCCTCTCAAAAATTTGCTCTTTGAGAACTAATACTGATTCGAGAAATACTTCAATAATATACTGGACCTCTGGAGAACATAACTTCATGAACGAATATAAATTGCACCGAAAGGTACAATCTTAATATCGTGTGCTGCAGGAGTGATCTTCTCTTTTATATCGTCACATTCGAGATAACCACCCTTCATTCGCGGACAGTAAGCCACAAAGTGTTCCAGTGTTTGATCGAAATGAATCACTCTAACCAATCTGGGACAGAAAGAAAGTATTACTCTATAGTTGAACATCTGCCGCAACTTATTCATCAATTCTACTCACCTGAATATTTTTCCTAAATTTAAATTGAGGGGGAAAGCAACCAGTTGACAATCCACCCTCGTTCCTCGTGCAAAATCACATTCTGGCTTCTCTGGTTTCACCAACGAAATCAAATGCTTAATCCACTGGTGTGCCACAGTCAATTTACTTCCCCTGGTATTTTCCTTAGGGAATGCCTCGAAATTGGGAGAAACTTCTATCTTCCCATCCTCACTGTAATTTTGAAGATTGTCGATGACAGATCCTCTCACAGAAATATAGTCCTCCAAGGTTGCCCGGGCTTCTTCAGGAGTCATCCTCGAATCTTCCACTCTCATGACGCAACCTTGGGCCAATTTTATTGAATCTGGTAGCTCCACGACATAATCGTTTACTGGCATCAAAGCCACCAGACATGTGAGGAGGAAAATATGTTGAAATTCACGAACGGATTGACAATCAACTAGTAAAGCGATCGCTCCTACATAAAATCGTTTAGCACGAAACTTGTGTTTGTCATGAAAACATTCCCACCGAGCGACCACAGCCACATCGATTCGAATGGCTGTCGCAGCAGGAAAGGATTCCTTTTTCTTTTCAAAATCATCCCATGCCCATAACTATACTTTATTAACATATTGCTTGATGCTGATGCCATTGAATACAAAACAATGTGCTAACATAAGAGCCCTTTCCTGATCACTGATGGCTTGTCTTGGAGGTGATAAATTGAATGATCTGATCCAACGACTCAACCAAAAGATTAAGAAATCCGTGTCATGTCTCTCTGTTAGGACCTGGCATACCAGAATGGTCTTCTTCTCGAAACTTATAGTGACTGTATACAAGAATATGTGACCAGTTAAATACCCAGGACCTTTCTCGAATGTGGTGACCAATTTTCCAGTACCATCAGCCATAACTTTGGAATCTTTAATCACCCGATTATATTCTTTAAAAACATAGACTTGTGCAGGTGTACAGTAAATCAAATGGAAAGGATCAAGTCCGATATCGAGTATGCTCGTCTTGTATGTAGGATCTGCACGTAAATCTCGGATGATGGTCAGGTGATCTCTTGTATCCCTAGGTCCATTACCATATGTTTCTTTCACAGCATCCATCTTCGCTTGATGATAGATATACCCCCTTCTTATCGTTGGAGGGATGGATTCACCAAATGCCATCCCCTCACGAAGTAATTTCTGTCGATAATTCTTTGGGGCTCCTCTTAACAATGCCTCTCGCACTTGCACTCTCTCTGAGCCTCTCAAGGGTCGTTTAACGTCTTCATGTTTTTGCTGACGAGTATCGCGGGCTTGAATGTTCAGGTTAAGTCTCCCTGTTTCTGTAGCTGTGGCACCTATCCCCATGAAAATATTTCCACACGATTTGCCTTTACAAGTGGCCTTGAATTTCACTAAAACAGAACCATCTTCTCTGATGCTGACCTGAGACCACTTTCCAATCATCGCACAAGGCATATTGTATCTCAGGTACAAGGCATTGGAAACGATGGAAACCCATGCATTAGGTCTCAACCTCTCTCCTCCCGATTGTGAAGTATCCTCAGGTTTTATCCCCTCCCACTCCAGTGCAGTCAATAGCAGGTGAAAATCCTCCACACCAGCACCTACATCTTCAGGTTCAACTAATGAGTCATTGTTCAACAACAAAGACTCTCCATTGGGGACTTCACAAGTGATATCTTCTCTCATTTTCGATTTTCTTCGGGGTGATGTGAAAATTCCGCAGTTCTGTCGAGCAGTAGTCAAATTTTTCTTTTTATTTCCAGTCACATGAATGTACACTGAATGAGCCAACCATTTCCCCTTGAGCTCCAGGCTCATCTTTGCCCACACATGGTGAGATGTACCGGGGAAATCATTGCTCTCG